CCTGCAGGGACGTGGCCCCAGCCCACCTTGGCGCACTGTTGTCCTTTCCAGCCTGACCCATTCTGTGACTCTGTGAAAAGCAATGCTCACTCCTGTTTCTCTCCACAGCCTCCTCCAGCTGGTGATCTCTGGCCCAGTGCAGCAGCCAGCCCACAGTGCTCTGCCCCCAGGGTTCTACCCCCACATCCACACCCCTCCCCTGGGTTACCCCTCACATCCTCCACACCCTCCTCATCCCTCACACCCCCCACACCCGGCTCACCCCGCGCTCCCAGCACACCCCGTCCAGACCTTCATCCCAGGGATGACATTCCCATATCGGCCCATCCGCTAGCATGCTGGGACTGCAGGGTGTCCCAGCTTCCCCCAGCCCCAGGAGGCCTTGCAGATCCAAACAGACATCTGGGAACCACATCTTCCTCCCCGGAGCAGAGCCGAGCACAGGGTCGGGCCCTGCGGCAGCAGCGACGGCTGCAGTCGGCTTGGACGTGGGATCCACACACTCAGGCACATCCCAGGGCTCAAAGGAGGGGATGGCAATGGGCAGCAGGAGCTCTGCAGTGTGTGGGAATGGTTTTGCTCCATGATTCTCCTCAGCCATGCGTTTCCCAGCAGCCTGAGTGTGCATATAGCACAGTGGACCTGGAGCTTCAGCTTGGAGAGGGCCACAGGGGAAGGAAAGCCTTGTGTGCCCTTTCCAAGCTGTTCCACTCCTGCCTGTTTCTCTGTAAATGTTTGTATCTATAGCCACAGAGTATGTGTACACTGTATATTTTTGGAACACACCTGTTTGTCTCTCTTGAAGCACTAGGTAGGGTAAAGCAGCACTTCCTATTAAAGGAACCAGTTTAAGGAGCATAAACCAAATCTGCTGCTTTCTCTGTCAAACAGAACCATTAGAGCCATTTCATACAGATTCTTACCTTTTAAACAGTGATTAGAAAGTCTGACTCATTGGGTCTGTGCTGGGGCGGGCACAAACCCCCTGGGTGGCTGCAGGGACACATTGTGCTCTCTCTGGGGAGACTCCTCTGCACACTTCAGTTAATTTGGGGTGAGATCTGGGGCTGTGGTGTGCTCCAGCTCCAGGTGTGGCACAGGAGCACAAGAAATGGGCCCAGGAAGGGCAGCAGAGCTGGGTGCTGTCAGCACAACAGCCAAATGTGGTGTCCACCCCTCTGTGGTCCTGCTGTGCTCTTCTGAGCCACTCTGCAGGGAGAAAACCAGGGGAAAAGGGGTTCTTTCCACACCTTAGTGCCTGTGGCAGAACTCAGCTGCTGCTGTGCTTGTGTGAGGAGGTGTGTGGTGGCTGTGGGTCCACACTGGCTGCAGGAAAAGGGCAAATTAGATGGAAAATGGGAAAGCTGTATGTGAATGAAACAGGTGAAAAGGAATCTGGTTGTCCTTCTCTGGAAAGGGAAGGGTAATGGTAATAAACATAATGAGGGTTGAAAGGGACTTCTGGAGGTCATCTAGTCCAACCCATAATAGTGATAATAATGATGATTATAGAATCATGGAATTTTTGGGGTTGGAATGGACCTTTGAGATTATCTTGTCCCAACCCCCTGCCCTGGGCAGGGACACCTCCCCACTAGACCAGGTTACTCAAGGCCTCATCCAACCTGGCTTTGAACACTGCCAGGGTTGGGGCAGCCACAGCCTCTTTGGGCAACCTCCCAGGAAAAATCATCTTCCAGCTTTCTAACTTAAATTTCCCCTCTTCAATTTCTACCCATTGCCCCTTGTGCTGTCACTGCAGTTCCTAACCAAGGGTCCCTCTGCGGCTTCCTTGGGGCCCCTTAACATACTGGAAGGTCGCTATTAGGTTTCCATGCCACCTTCTCCAGACTGAACAGCCCCAACATCCTCAGCCTTATGATAAGAAGAAGAAGGAGGAGAAGAAGCAGCAGCAGCATTAACTTTTGGTCATGCAGGAAGTGCTCAGGCAGTTAGACAAGGTGCCCATTTTTTTACAGAGTAGTCAGGCATTGGAATGTGCTGCCCAGAGAGGGGGATTCACCATCCCTGGAGGTTTTTAAGACAAGACTGGATGTGGCACTTAGTGCCATGGCCTAGTAACCACAGTAGGGTTGGACTTGATGATCCTTGAGGTCTCTTCCAAGCTGGTCTGGTCTGGTCTATTCTATCGTAGATCCCTTCCAGCAGAAATCTGTCTTATCTCACCACAGAACTCCAACAAAACCCCTTAGAGACACTAACACCACCAATTCCTTGCAGCGCCACAGCTCTCATACCTCCTTTTCCGCTTCCCACGGGGGCAAAAACCCCATTTCCCTTTTATTTCCCTTAATTAACCCCGTCCTTTAATCCCGTCTCCTCCACGTGGCCTCGGCGGACGCTCTGCGCACGCGCAATATCTACACATCATGTGACCCATCACTAGCCAATAAGGAAACGCCTTATTTCCAGATGCTGACG